TTTTTTTTTTTTGGATATAGGGTACGTTTATGGTGGTATGGCTGTAGACTTTTTTTTTTTGAGATGAGGTGTTGCTATGCAATAAAGGCTGGCCTTGAATTTATAAGGATCCTCCTGCCTCAGCCTCTGGAGTGCTGGGATTATAGGTGTGCACCACCACATCTGGGATTTGGAATTTTTTTTTTTTTTCTTTTTGATATAAGGTCTCACTGCAGTTCAGGCTGGCCTTGAGCTCACTGAATAGCCCAGGCTCCTCTCCAGTTCATAAAGATCCTCTTGCCTCAGCCTTCCAAGTGCTGGGATTACAGGTGTGTACCATCATGCCTGGCCTTCAGGGATTTTGGAATTTAAAAGATCGCCCTCAGTTAGGATGTGTTTTTTTTTTTAAACCTGGAATCGAACTCATGACCTCTGGCTTGCCAGGCAAGTGCTCATGCCACTGAGCTAGATCCCTGGCCCCCAAGAATGCCCTCAGTGCTGACATTTATGCTCGCTTTCCTTGGTGACTTCCAGATTTCAGAGACACACTTGTTTTTCCATGATGGTAAAGTCTAGCCTGTTTAGTCTACCTGCAAGATAGTATTTCATTTGTTGCCCCATGTCCTGTTCTCTTTCCCCTGCATTGCTGTCTGGCATGGCTAGTCTCTTAGCCAGGTCCCTTCAAGTCTGTACCTGTCATGGGCCACAGGAAGGGGACATGTTACCCCTATTTACTTCCCCCTAGCCTTTCCGTCTTCAGTGCAGAGCAGAAGCGTTGTTTAATGTGTAGTCTGACCCTTGGTGACCATTGGGGATTGCAGAACGTAGATTTCAGATGTCGCAATTTACTGGACATAGTAAATTTTGGATCGCAAGGGCACAGAAACAGGGAAGCAAGAAGAGCCCGGTGAAGGAGGGGCGGGGCACGGCTTCTGTCCTGACAGGTTCTGGCTGGAACACCGGTGCTCAGTAGCACTTGGACTTGGTGCTGCACCTTTCAGAGCATCTATCTCTAACCGGCAGCGATTGGAATCACCCTAGCTTAAGCTCCATGTGAGGGTGGCTGGGATCTTAGATATGGAGAGCATCGGAGCATCACAGCAGGTGCACAGGGACTGTTTGTTGCCTTCTGTACAGTTTTTTTTTGGTGAGTTTGTGCTGGGAATTGAACTCATGACCTTGCAATTTCCAAGCAGGCACTGTACCACTGAGCTGTATCCCCAGCCCCTATATGTATAGGTTTTTTGTTTTTGTTTTTTTCTTCTGGTACCAGGAATCCAACTCACGACCTTGCGCTTGCCAGGCAGGCGCTGTGCCGCTGAGCTAAATCCGCAGCCCCTATAGTTTTCAAAGTCTGTTGAATAGCAGCAGTTCAGAAGAGACATTTTCTCTTTCAGCTGTTTATTTTGAAGCCAGGTGTGGTGGTACATGCCTGAAACCCCAGCAACCTGGGAGCCTGAGGAGGAGGATCTAGGCTACGTAATGAGTTCAAGGCCAGCCCGAACTACATACAAAGACCTTGTCTCAAAACCAACCAACCTCCACAAACCCAAAAAACATTTTTATTTTGAAAATTTCCAATCTATAAAAGAGTAGGAAGAGGGCTGGGGATTTAGCTCAGGGGCACAGTGCCTGCCTGGCAAACACGAGGTGGTGAGTTCGATTCCTGATACGGGGGGAGGGGGCAAAAACAAACAAACAAAAGAGTAGGAAGAATAATACAGAGAACTCCTGAAAAACTGCCATAAAAAGTTCACCAAATCTGAGCAGCTGTTTTGAAGATAACAATAGACAATGTACTAACCCTCCTTACTGCCCTGCTATCTTGTTTTGAAATTTTGTATCATTGTTTTTATTGTTTTTTCTTTTTAAAATAAAAAAAAGTCAACATGCCCTATTCCCATTTTGCTGAGTTAGCTTTTCTCATTTGTATGTATATGTAAAGGGTTTGTAGTGAGTTGGGGATGCAGGGGTATTTTATCCTACAGTACTTGTCTTTCACAAGAGTGAGGTTACTCCCCAATAT